AAATGGATATGGCATATTATGCCTACTTATATAAGGGTGTATTTAAACAGAAATAATCCTTTCAAATGTTTTGTTGAATATTATTGACAAGTTCTGTCTATCCAATTTTTTATTTAGTTTTTCAAATTTACAAGTAGGTTGACAATGAATGCAGCAACAATAGCAAAGTAATTGGTGGAATGTGTGATAAATGAATTTTGGAAAGTTTACCAATTATATAAAACAACCTATTCAAAACTATTGGAAAAACTTGATAGACAGAATTTGTCAATATTAAATTGCAAAAGAATGGTGACATATTGATAGCATGAACACATAGTTTCTAAAGTATGCTATATTTATGGGTAAAAACTACAATAAAAATTTCGGGCATGTGTAAATATAAAATTAAATTGAAGGATGACAGTTTTTTTTGGAACCAATGCAATCTTTTTGACCAGAATTTGTTGAAAATGAAACCTATCTATCTTTGGTTTCTGTAACTATATATATATAAATTATATATATATATATATATATATATATATATATATAATAACAATCAGTTCTCAAATGTTGAATAAAATTCAAGATGAAAAAAAGCCAATATCAAACAAAATTTTGGTTCTCAAAACATTGAAGAATTAACCAAATGGAATAATTTCTGAGTCGACAATAAACAATATTTGTTTGTGTTGTGCTTTGATTTTTTAAATTTCAATTTTATTGTATTGTGAAAATTTTTTAAACATTAATTCTTAAATTGACGAATAGTTTTGGTTTAAAAACATTTCAGAGACTATGAAAAATTAAAAAACAAATTTAATTTGTGGAATTATCCACTTTATATATATATATATATATATATATATAATATGTATGGGAATAATCAGGAAAAGATATTGTTATTATAAAAAAAAAAAGTGTTTCTTGTTGAAGCATTTATTGTTTCTCATCTCATTTGAAGAAAAAAGAAGCATATCATCCTATATTCGTTATTTATTTATTTTTTTTCAAGTTTTTTGAGATTCTCTTGTTCCTCGCAAATTATATTCAATAATACAGTCTTTTCTTTCCTGCAGTTATAAATACAAAACTGGGTGTATGTTCTCATAGTGTAACTTTTTTCACACCTGAAGTATCAGTTGTTGGAATCACAAACTAGATTAACTTTACACATTTTAAACAACAGAAGTAGTATTAATGTCAAACTTTGATCTTATTCACCTTTTTGACTGTCAATCTGTCTTTCTAATTGTTACTGTTTTTGTTCATTAAAGTTTTCTTTCTCTCTCTCTCTTTCCATCCTGATTGTGGCTGCTGACTAATGCTGATTTACTCTCAGTTTTTTTTTTTTTTTTTACCTTTGGATTACTGAAAGCAAATTTTTTTTTAGTATGGCACCTTGTTAAAAGTTGCACTTTTTCGCAATTTTAACTCCTAACCCAAAAAAACTATCATTAGTGTTTGATTTTTAACTTAAGTCTTATAGTTTTTAATATTTTTTTATGGCTATCGTTCCATTAGGTTGAGTTATTTATTTTGGTCATTTTCTCTATTTATTTGATTTTCTGTATTCACGTATCGTTTGCTTAATACAGTATGTTACCATATTCAAATTATTTATTTTATATATATATATATATATATATATATATATATATATTTCAAATTTCATATATGGATATTTCTTTGGTCATCCTGACAAGTTTAATTTTCTTAGGAATCTTTACAGTTGATGTTTTTATGTTATAGCTTCTCAAAATGTTGGCTGATTGATTTTACTGTATGTCAAACCTTGTTTATTTAATGTCTAATTTCATACGGGGAACTAAGTGAGGATCAAACTCACTACTTATTCATGAAAATAAGCTAGATTTAGCTTTGCTAACAATTTTCCCATGCAAAGAGGTCATAATAGCAGAAATAATTTTTTCTGGTGAAATCGGAGATATTTTTAATGTCTTGCAATAATATCGGAGTTATAGAAAAAAAAGTTTATACAAAGAAGATTATCAAAATAATTTCCACTTTTAATGTATTTGAAAATTTATTTTACATACATATATGCTTTTAATGTCATTAAAATGTTTTCATATCTGACTTGAAAGAAAATATTGATGTTTTTTTGATTTTTTTTTATTTTTTTTTTTTTCCTATAAAATATTAATGCTTTAAAATGTCTGAAAAAACTTGTGTGTTTTTTTATATAATATAGTTTGTTGAAAAATATTTTGTAAAAAAGTATTTTTTAAAACTTTTTCGATTCCCTAAATGAAGAGGTTTAAATATGTTAAAATTTTATTTAGGCTGTTTAACATGCAAACTTTTTAGATTTTGTTTTTCTGTTAAATCTTCTAAAAATAGTGCAGAATTAATTTGTTACATATCAAATGATATTTTTATTGTCAATAAGTCACAATTGTGACATAATTAAAAACAAAATATTAAAGCTAAAGTATTTGGTGACAAGCCAGTCTTAAATATTTTGAATTTGTAAAGTTGTTTTTGTATAATGGTTAAAATCAGGGCTGGATTATGACCTTTCACGGCCCCTAGGCTAATGAAATTATGGGGTCCTCCTCAGACGGGAATATCCTCTAATACCTCACCCCTGTCTTGAATATTTTTTTTACTCATGATACATTTTAACAATATTTACATAGCTTGAAATAAACTTATTGCAAATTCTTTTGTTTGTCAATAAAAAATATTCCTTAAGAAATAACACTATTTTACAAATTTGCACATATTTCAACACAACCCCAGTTTAAAAAAAAAACAGATTTTTTTTTATCACCAGCATTATAACAATCAATACATGAGCTTGTCATATTAATATCATTTCAGTTTATGAAACTATTTAGAAGTTGTAACATCTAGAAATTTAAAATCATTGCTTTATAAAAGCTTGAGGGTCCCTAGGCTGTATCTTATACTAGCTTAAAAAAATAATCTGGCCCTGGTTAATATTTAAATTAACATTCTTAATTTTTCTCATAGTTTAATGTAGCTCCATTCCTTTTAAAACGTTGTGAATCAACTACAATTCTGAACTGCTATTTCTCAAATGTTTTAATTACATACAAAGTGGTTTTATTTACAATTATTTTTTAAACTTTTTTTGAAAAGGATTATAAAATCAATACAAATCCTATTTATTTTATTCTAAGTTTTAATTCCTTTAATGACTTGTGCAATTTTAAACCAATTGAACAATAAACATGAAAGAACTCTTTCATAACATTAATCCATATAGTATCCTACAATTTCTTAAAGAACTCAAAATGTATTCTAAAACATAACATCAGCAAAACTTTAATATAAAACACACATATCACTGCCTCTAGTAATTGTCTACACAAACATGCATATTCACAGAAGCTGAGTATCATCTACCAATTGTGAAAGCAGAATAACATATATACAATTTTTTTCTCTTCAAAGCTCACAAGCAAATTAAATTTCAGCATTAAATGACCCATAAGGAGTCGATATGCTGTTAAACAAATCAAATCAATTTTAAATCCCATATTTATGTTTAGATGCTTCATTTAGTCAATAAAACTTGCAATAAGTTTTTCAGTTCTTCAAGTTGAACCCTGAATGTTGTAAGTTTATTGTTCATAAATTAAGGACTACAATGATAGCAATAGACACCTTTTTTGTGTTTATATGTAACAGTTTCAGACTCCCTACCAACTGAAATTTGTCGGGTTTAGCTCCTCCTTAATTCCCAAATTCTTCACCAGGGGTCTCTTTCCCTATACTATAAATACTGGGAAACTTCTTGCCTCGATCTCTCTTTCCTTCAGGCCTTGTGCCACATCTGACCTCGCGTGGAGCTGAGGTAAATCCTCTTTTTCATTTCAACGACTACAATGTAAGCTCTCTTAGAAAATATGCGTCTTCCCATTTGTGGAAGACACCATGAACATTATACACTAATACATATTGTTGGTCGAAAAAGAATGAAAGGAAAGTGAAAGTTTTTTGAAAGCATTTCAACCTTATTTAAAGAAAAAAAAAAAACAACCGTTTGACCTTAAATGATCTCTTGCTGATCGATGGGTCGTTAAGTTTTAAACAAACAAACAAAACATATTGTTGGGTTTAGTCCACCATTTTTCGTGTAGCTAGACCTTCTTCTAACAGGAAATATAAACGCATGTGTTTTCATTACATCTTCACTCCCACAGTCCACTACAAACTCATCTTTTTTATTATTCTTTCTTGTGATAAAATCTAATGTTAAAAAAGAAAAAAAATATCTATTTTGGTATCCAACTTAATTCTATGTTTTATTTTAAAAAAAATCAAAAAAACTGTGGTACTTAGAAAGTGATGTAAATTTCTAATAACTTTCTCTGCATTGCCCTCACCTCCCAGGAAGACACCATGTCATTTACCAACTTCTGATGGTGACAATAAAGTAAACATACAACATAAGGATATCCAAGCCTGTATAAAGTGTTGCAAAGAGAACTCCTTTTGGATTCAGATTGAAAATGAGGTATCTATCTATATTTCTGAGATGAGGTATTATGTACACTATTTACATTGTTCGGACTATCATCCTCATCTTTGTTGTCATAAATATAACAATGTTTTGGCTGTTGTACGTTCCGGCCTTCTTCAGGTGGTTGGAATGTCGAACTGAAAATCAAAAATATGTTTTGGCTTTAAATAAATCACAGAGCGTTGGTAAGACATAAAATAAACAAATCAATCAAACCAGGAGAGAGAGGCTGATGAATTTTCCTAAACAATGTCATGCATTTAACTGATTGCACAAGCAAGGGAAATGGGGAACACTTCTAAGATTTCTTTAACATTATGCTAAAGATAGCACTGGCACTTTTGCATCAACTGAATATTTTATGCATTTATTATTAATCATACTTATAGTTTCTCTTTATGCTTTATTTCAATTGATTTTGCTTAATTTTGAAATTTGTTAACCTGTAGCTTTCAGTTAGTCTTTATTGTTGCTATATCATTTTTCTTTTTATTTCTTACAGTACCATGACTCTGTTCAAGAGTGTGAAGATTTTCGGCAACTTTTGAGTGCCAGCAAAAAGAAAGCAACAAAACTTAATTCTGAGATGCAGGATATTAAACGGCATCTTAATGAGCAGACGTCGCGAAATAATGAGCTTGAAAGAAAGCAGAGAAAGTAAGGACTCTTATTATTTGAGTTTTTTGTTGTTGTTGAAGTTCTTCAGTAACTGTTCAGCCATTTTTTTTTTGAAAAACAAAAAAAGTCTTTTACGTGATTTGGTAACCAATCACATGGGACACCTTACTGCATCTGTGGAAAGAGATCCTCTCTAATGAGGTTAGCTAGCCATTGGGGTGATGGGAGATTGTATATTGTGTGAGCCCCTCATTTACAGTACATATTTATCAAGCTTTGATTGCAACTAGGAAATTTGTCCGCAGAAACTGGTTTGAAGGATTAGAAGGGTTTTTGGAAATGATTCGATTAGTGAAACCAAGATAAATAATAATAATATAAATGTTCTCTATTTCTTGGTTAAATCTGCAAGGAGACCATATATATATATATATATATATATATATATATATATATATATATATATGTGTGTGTGTGTCCGTGTTATGGTAAACTTGATTCATAGTGAAATTGTGATTTACTGACTTTTGTGGACATTTGAGTTTATCTTCATCAATACACCAATTTTCACATGAATATTGATTTTATTATATGTGCTCTGATGTACTTTCCTCTTTGGTACCCCGACTTTACTAATTTAATTGCTGTACTAAATTGGCAGCTAGTTCTCATTTTACAGTTGAAATGGCTAGATGTAACCATAAGTTCAATGCTAACAGTTTATTTTGCATTTCTCAATTGTGGTACTCTCTTCTAGCCTCTTGCACTCCAGTCACTTTTGATTTTCAAAAATTTAAATGCAATGTCAATCATTATCTTCTTTTTTCTTAATCCCTATTTTTTTATTGTTCTTTCTGCTTAATAATGTTTCTCTCTTTCTTATATTATTTCACACTCAGTAACTCCTTACATCTTAGTGGCTTTATCACCTTGCTTGAGGTCTAATGATTAAAAAAAAAATGTGTGCCCATGCTTGTAGTAAATTTAGTTGCAGTTGCCAAAACTTAAAAATACTTGTGAAAAGAAGAAAATGAGAACAGAAAATAAAAACTTAGTGTTGATTTCACTATTGTGCTCATTGGACAGTGGCTTCCTTTCTCTTTCCCTGCCATTATTGACTCTTTATGAATACAGAACAAATGTTTTTCTATATGTTAACATAATTAAAGAATTAGTTTACAAATTCTCCTTCAGAACCAATTAAATCATGACTAGAAAAGATAATGGCTATTTTATTTTAATTTTTCTTCATTATTTTTGTCATTTCTTCAAATGTTTTTTTTAGGTTTGATTCAGAATTGAACATGGCACTTCAGGAATCAAAGGAGGAAAGAAATCATCGTGAGAAATTGCATAGAGAAAAAGACGAACTGATGGCACTAAAATATTCCTTGGAGCAGCAGAATATGGTAAGCAACTTACATAGCATCTTATATTCTTGAAGAAAAGGAAATTTGAAGCAGTTTTTGATGTTTTACAATGTGGAACACAAGACTAGTCATCATCATCATTAATGTCTGAGTGAAAAAGAAAAAATACATCTATGTTATAGGTAGTCAAAATATACATATCAATAATTATGTAATAAGTCTTACTAATTCAGTAATTGCTGTGGAACCTTATTTGTTTTTGGCCATCAGTCCATTGCTTTAATCATGTTTAGCAATATCACTTAATTGGTATTACAGGTTTTGCTAGTATCGGACTAAATATTTTAATTGAGTGTAACTGTTTTTGTTACCATTATCCTTGTATGTTATAAACTACTTTAAGCAAAATAGACAACAAAGGTACCAATATATTGAACAATAACAACCTACACTCTTAACTGGTCAATTCATTCAATAGCATCTCGGTGGAAAGATTTAGTTTTATTTAATCCATTCATGCTACTGTAATGATCATATCTGCTTAGGAATATGTAAATTAAGATAAAATAAATTAAATATAATATATTACAATATAATATTAATATATATAAAATATATTAAGCCATTCATGCTAATAATGCATCTGCTTAGGAATATGTAAATTAAGATAGAATAAATCTAATATATATAATATATTACAATATATACATATTAATATATATAAAATATATTAAGCCATTCATGCTACTGTAATGATCATATCTGCTTAGGAATATGTAAATTAAGATAAAATAAATCTAATATATATAATATATTACAATATATACATATTAATATATATAAAATATATTAAGCCATTCATGCTATGTAAATGATCAAATAAATCTATACATATTAATATATATAAAATATATTAAGCCATTCATGAATATGTATCTGCTTAAATATGTAAATTAAGCTATATGATTTTTTTTATCTTTCTGATTGGTCATCACAAAAAAAATGTGGTTAAATCTGAAACCAAACATACCTGTATTCTTCAATTCTCAGCCCCCACCCTCAATAGGCAGGACATCACTCTCTCCACTCATCTATTTTGATATAATCTCAAACTTTCCTAAGGTGAATATGGTATTTAGTAAATAGTCTTATTTTGAAAAATGAAACAAACATAAGGATGATAGTTTAAAAAAAATATATAAAAAAAGTAGCTAGAGTATAAATTTATTTTAATCCCCATTTAAAAGTATTAAGTGCAATAAACTGATAAGTTATCAATATAAAAAGGGAGACAATTGGGAGGAATGGATTTTGTTGTATTAGAATAAGTTTTTCTCATTTGTAAAACTGACTTGTGTATGCTTTTATTTTCAAGTATTTATTACTCCTGTAGTTGTTACATTTGTGTTCTTGTAAAATATACCATTCTCTTATTATAGAAAAGCCTATGTTACTTTCTTTTACTCATCAGAGAACATGCTAAATCAAGATATATAGAAAATATTAGAATTGGGATTTTGATATGAGCATTTGAAAGGAAAACAAATGACTTTTCCATCATGCCACACTTCTACTGTTTAAATATAAACTTGGAAGTAATGTAGTCTTTTTTTATGTTTATAATTACTTACTTGAATCCTAGGGAAGATTTTACAGCTCCAACCCACTTCCCAAAATCTGATCATATTTTTTTTTTTTAAATCCCTTCTTGGTTAGGCAATAAAAAAAATTAATATTTTTGGATCCTTGAAGAAAGTCTAATGAATGCTAATCTACAAAAATTATTCCCTTAAAACATTTCCCATGTTTTATGAGAGGACCACTCTATTTAAGTAGTGCCAAAAAGTGTGATAAATGAAATTATTAATCTTGTAAACCCTCAAATTAATTTTAAAAAATTCATGATAATTTGAAAGCTATATCTACATTTAACTATACATGTACCCACATTTTTTTCATTTGCCTCGTTCTTACTCATTTCCACTCTATAATCTATAATTTTTCTTACCTCCTCTCTTAGCTCTTGTTAAGTATCATATCTCTTTCCTTTTTGTAATTTGGATCATGTTGTAGTATCTGTTGATATTTCTTTTGAGACAGGAACCATCTATTCACAAGACTTCATTCTGCTATCAGTGTACTGATTGGGATTCATTTTGAAACTTTGAAACACACCTTGGATTGATATTTTTTAATCTTCCTATTGAGAATTGTCACAGAGATTTTCTTCTTGGGTTAAAACTGACATTGATGCTTTTGAACTTTCTCCAGGTCAAATCACAATCTTTATCTTGATTCACAGCTGCCTGTTCAGCCACTATAGTCCACATGAATCCCCTTAATTTCAATAGACATTTCTTTGTGTCTGCTTGTAATAATTATAAACATGTTCTCAAGGATTTCTTTGCTTATAGAATGAGGCACTGTATAGCCTCTATAGTTTGGTTCTCCTGACTACTGGTGACTCTTTTAATAGTGTGTTAAATAAGTCTTTTATCCTTCCTCTCTTCTCTTAATTTGAGGTGTTAACATCTGCTGATAAAGCAGAATGTTTTGCTTGTAAATTCTCTTCCATGTCTTCTCTTGACTCATCTGAAATACCTTTGCCTGATTTCCTACTGAGTTTCTGTTGTGTTTATATGCCTATAACTCTATGGTTTCTGTTATCATCTCTAAACTTGATCCCCACTAAGCATGTGAACTTAATGATATCTGCAATAGTCTTAAGAAATGTGCTCTTGAACTGGCTCCTGTTCTCTCTAAATTCTACAATAAATGCCTGGCTGCTGCTTGCTTTCCTACTAGTTGGAAATCCTATTTAAGAACTTGGGCAAACTATCTGGTCTATTAGCCTTCTACTGCTTTTTGGCAAAATAACGGAGACTCTGATCAACTCTGAAATGGTTAAGCATCTCATCTCACAGGGTCTTCTTTCAGATAAGCAATATGGCTTTTGCTTCTCTGGGTCAACTGATGATGTATTAATGGTTATTTCAGAAAGGGCCTATCAAGTTTTAGATAAGAATGGTGAAGTTCTGGCTGATGCTTTGGATATCTTGGAGGCACTTGACAGAGTTTGCCATGCTGGTTGAAAGGTTATGGTATTTCTGGACAAATTTTTGATTTGATTCAATCTTTTTATCAAATCACAAAATGAAAGTTATCTTGAATGGCCACTCTTCTAGATCTTTTTGTATTAATTCAGATATTCTCCAGTACTTTATCCTTGAACCTACATTGTTCCTAATTTTTATCAACAACATTCCTGATATCATTAGTTCTCATGCTGATGACACAAATATTTATTCCTGTCTTCATGTTAAATCTGATCAGTTCAGTAAGGAAAAATGGATAACTGATCTCAAAAATAACCTAAAATCTGTTGTTAATTGGGCAAAAAATGGCTGGTTAATTTTAACTCCTCCAAAATAAAACTGCTCTCTTTTAATCATCTGATAGAACCTTCTTTGCTTTCCATCAGCATGGCTGATGCTAATCCCAGGAGAGGGGCTCCTTGAGACTTTTCAGGATAACATTTTCTGCTGATATGAATTGGAAAGATTATATGGAATCTAGGACTGCCACTAGGAAAGTTAGTTCATTGTTTCATGCAAAACAATTTTTCTTGCCAGAAGCTATCTTGCACATTTATAAGTCTACCATTTGTCCATGCTTTTAATATTGCTGCCACATCTAGTCTGGTGCTTCTGCTATGTATTTGGAAATTTTTGATAAAATATAAAAAATCTGCAATGTTATTGGTTCTGACCTGGCAGCTTGCCTTCAGTCACTTTCCCACCACTCTAACATAGCTTCCCTGTGCATTTTCTATAAATATCTTCATGGTAATTATTCTGGTGAACTTTCCTCTTTAGTACCTAGACTTTATGAATTTAAGCATGTTATTAGATTGGCAGCAAAGTCTCTACATTTTACAGTTGAAATGGCTAGATGTTACCATAAGTTCTATGGTAACAGTTTCTTCTCTTACACTTCTTGCTTGTGGAACTCTCTTCTGGCTCCTTGCTTTCCCATGACCTTTAAACTTCAAAACTTTAAATGCAATGTCTGTCATTATCTTCTATCTTCTTAATCCCTGTTCTTTTATTGTTTTCCTTTTTTCTCATATTTTCTCACTCTCAGTTAATCCCTTGCATCTTAGTGGCTTTTACTGCCTTGCTTGGGATGAAATAATTAAAAATAAAAATAAAAATTGGACAGATTCCTATTTGCAACTGTGTTAACACAGCAAAAACAGCTCATTGTCATGAGATTTTTGTTTGGACAATTACCATTAAAATGCTCTTGCTTGAAGAATAAAGTAATTTTCAGTTCAATTTGTAATTTAGTTTGTGTGTGTGTATGTGTGTGTGTGTGCCGGGGTTTTTGTGTTCACTGATGATAATGATTTCTTTGTATTTGTTACAAATGCGGAAATAAATATCAACATTTGGAAGAGGTAATAAAAATATTACTAATTACTGCGTAAAATAATGATACCCAAGAAATACCTTTTTATTTTGTTAAAAAATATATGCTTTTATTTAGAAATTAGATTTTGCTGCTAATTAGTTTTTATTTCTTTGTACAAATAATTATAAATTTATACATTCTATAAATAACTGACTTAACATTAGCCATAATAGGTTTCTTTGGCCACCTCCACTCATAAGCGAGTGAAATATTTCCTCTCTTTATTATTGATATATTTTTATGTTGAATAAAGCAACTTGCTTTGTTTTTAAAAAAAAAAAAAAATATATATATATATATATATATATATATATATATATATTTTAGGAATAGAATTATTTTGTGGGGACAGAAACTCCAACTGTGACAAGTATCTTTCTGCTTCTTGGCAAAAACATGATCTCAAATTTATGTCAAATCACTCAGTGCTCTCATTCAATAGCCATTTTAACTTAACCAATACTCAATCACCTTGCTGGCATAAGCATTTTTTTTATTGCTAATTCTTTTTCTTTAGGCTTAAAATCTTTCTGTCAAAAGTACTTTGTTTTCATGTTACAAGTTTTTGACACAATTCATCATTAATTTTATCTTCATTCACTAAATCCTCTGATGCTTATTATATCATTAATAAGCAAGTTCAATCATCAACAAGGGCACTATAAAAGTTTAATATTTCTCACTTTAAAACTGCTTTTGTGATTATCTTTTATTAATTGTCAGATCCACGTGCAAACCAAAATCTATCAATGTTAAATATATTCAAAAAGAAAGAAAAAAGATGTTTAAGTCTCTTAAATCTAATTTAAACAAAATTTTTCAAAAATAATTTAAGAAAAATATAAATTACAAGTGTCAATTTAAGAGTTTTAAAAATACTTTGAAAATTTTATTTTATTTTTGCTTTAATATATTCCCTATTTATGGAGGGAAGATGTCTACACATTGTCTAACACATTGTGTGAAGAGTTATTTACCTGACCTGACCATTAAGGCAGGATGTGGCACAATGTTCATCTCCCATCTCAAAGAGAAAAGATATTAGGCTATGTTAAGAAAGTGTAAATTAAATTCAAGGTATTTTTTTAGGAGGAGGGGGAATAAGTTAACATTTATACAGTTAAGAATTGAACCAAAACACCCTTGAAAAGGAAACTTGAATATAATTCTGTTATGGATAAACACGTGTCCATGACATGTAACCATTTTTGCATTTATGAAAAAAAGTGGAGTGCAGTTTCATCTCTTTGCAGTGTAAAATAATTTTTTGTTTAAAATCATCTATTCAGTAAAGTGCAAATAACTGTTCAGCTTTGTTTTTTAAAAATAATGTACAAGCAAATTAGTTTCATTTTTGCAAAAAAAAAAAAAAATGGCTGCAGAGATTTTAGTATTACATACACTTTCTTTTCTTACTTACTCTGACATGTTTCCCTTTTTCTTTTCTTTTTTTACTTTGCTTCCTCTCTCTATTTACTTTGCTTCCTCTCTCTATTTACTTTCTTTTTCTCTTTATTTAACTTCCTCTCACTATCTACTTTCTTTCTCTCTTTTTACTTTCTCTCTCACACTCTATCTACTTCCTTTTTCCTCTTCTGTCCTTTTTACTTACCTTTCTTCCCTTACTCTCTCTCTCTCTCTTTGCTTTCTCATTGTTTCTTTTATTACATCTATGCTAATCTACTCCATTTGCCATTGATAAATCCTTTTTCTCTCTTGGACTTAATCCAAGTAACCATCCATTCATCTACATAATCTTTCCAAGGTCATCCTTTGCATTTTTTCACTTCATTTTAACTGCTAAGGACAAAAAGAGAATGACTCTCTTATCCTATTTAGTATGTCAGAAAATTGGACTAAATTGGTGAGCAATATATGCAACTTACCTGCACTCCTAACAAATGTCTCCAGTGACATGACAATTGCCTGTTAAGTTTATTACTTCAATAATGAACTGGTTATGTACTTACTACACATAGATGTAATTAACATCTATATTACTTGTAGAAATAATAAACAAAAATAACATTTTTTTTCTTTTACCTATTTTACTATTATTCTCTTCAAAAGGCATGCACTTAAAATCTCAGCAGTTATGTATACTTTTCCCAATACTTACACAAATCCTAGACAGAAAAGTTGTCATTATTATCATCATTATCAGAACATTATCTGATGATATTTTACAGATGTAAATAAACATTAACAAAACAAATCAGTTGCACTTATGCTAATCAAATACAGATTAATAAGAAGTGTTCATTTTAAAGTTACTTTTATCAAATATATCTTTTGACACTTTTCAGTTGACATTGGTTTTAAAATGAAAGATTTAAGGTTTTTGAAGATCAGTGAAGGAAGAGTTACTTATTTTAGTATGTGGTATTTATTTTCCTTTCTGTTTATTTATATATACAACAAGTATACTATAGAGTACAGCAGAAATACCTTCCACATAATAGTATGCCATTAGTGGCAATGGTGTCTTCATCTAACTAATGTCTTAGCATTATGTGGGAGGTATTTCTGCTTCACTTTGTAGTATGTTTTTTATACATAACATATTAGTATGCAGCAATAAACTTACAACTAAATTTTACATAATTTGTGTATGAAATAAAATAATATATCATCTGCTTTTTTTTCTGCTCAAATGGGAAACAAAAAGTAAATCTTCACATGTATTGAAAGTTTGATTGCAAATCAAAAGGTTTTGGTTATTGCTGTTCTTAAAAGAAAAGCCTTTTTTATGAATTGAAAAGAAAAAAAAAATAATTCCCGTGATTGAGCATAGTAAATAATGGGAAAAATACATTTTAGGGGCAACAAAACATACCTTATAAATAAATCATTCTCCATTGACAATTTTCAATTGGCATTAAAAAAAAAAAAATTAAAGTTAGAATACATGTAATTTGTCTTGGTGCATGTTGACGTTAAAATTTATAAGTGACTGAGATCATTAAAGTATTTTCTCCCTTCATTGTCTTCATTAGTTTTATATATACATATATACATAGTTGGATTGATATTGAGTGCTTTCCAATAAGTACCATTCATATATGATATTGAAATAATATATATAAAATTGCATATATATATATATATATATATATATATATATATATATATATATATATATATATACATACACATTTTACACACACATATATATATATATATATATATATATATATATATATATATGAACAAGAGAGAGCTAATGAAATAAATGGTAAAGGCAGTTAGAATATGTATTCCTTCCAATATCCAGTTGGCTCTAACATAAACTGATTTAAAAAAAAAAAACAAAAACAAAAAAAAATGTTCTCTCTCTCTTTCTCACACTGTTCATAGTTGTCACACATGACCACAATAAAAACTGTTCTTTTTACTTGAATTAAATAGCTCAATTGTTACTGGTTGTCATGTTTTCACATAACTCATTATATACGTGTTATTGTGACTGACAAGAAAGCAAAAGTCCTCATCAGCTGATGACTATCCTTTTGATGATAAAAATGAATTGTGAGATGTAATAGGTTGGAACTTTGAAATTTATTAGTCAGTTTTATTACAAATCTCTCGGTGGTTGTCTACATGTGGCTTTTTAATTTATTTGTGGATTGAACATAGGCCTGTTGACAAAAACAGAACCTTGATTTAGATTTGATTGGATAATCAGTACAACATTCATATCTCTTAGAAAAAAAGTGGAAAAAAAGAATTTCCAGTTATTTACCTTTTTGTCAACTTTTATTTTAATTTGACTTTCAAATTGGCTTAAGAGAAAAGCAGGTCATTTGGAGATAATTTTTTTTCTCTTCTGTTCATCTGTGTATACGTTTGTATTTTCCTCTGCTGACATGAAGGGTGATCAGGTGAGAATAATGATTTGGATATTATTTCTTTTATTTTTAAAATATATGTTCATCTGAAATTAAGACAAGAAAATTTTTTTATAATTTCTGTTTACTTATTGTATTTTGAATTGCAAAAACATTTCTATATTTTCTTTCTGTCTCTTTTCTCTTGTGAAAATATATAGATTCTTGTTAAATGTAAGATTGGTTACATGGTATACCTGCTTAGTAGGGCCAAGTGTGCAATAACAGAATCAACTTTCTAAATCAATCCCCCCCCCCAAAAAAAAAACCAACAAACTTTTAATCCATTTAAAAAGAATGATCATTTACAGGGACCAAAATTTGAGGTTTCAATGTGTTCTGCTTAAGCAACATTCAGTCGAATTTTGCATGCATGCATGCATGCATGCGTGTGTGTGTGTGTATATATATATATATATATATATATATATATATTTTAGAGAACATTGAAAGGTTCATATCTTAAACAATTATCAGAAGTTTAGATGATGGCTAATTTCTATGTCCACACTGTTTTTATCTATAAATTGTCCATTCCTGATATCAAGCATTTCTCCCTGAGATATATATTATAATGTGCGTGTCAGTAATGATATATGACTATATTTGTTATAAATATTTCCATATTGTCAATACTTTGTAATTGTTCTATTCTAATAGTATTCAATTATTTACTTTAACCTTGTTTTTGTTACATTTTTTTTAATTGTACATTGCCAGCTTTTAGTCCTTCTAAAAGTGGGGGTGCGAATAATTAGTAATTAAAATAATGGAAATGCTATTGAATTATAAGTATTTTTCAATGAAAATTACATTGAAATTTCTGTTTTTCATTAAATATTTTTATTGTATTTTTAGTTTAAAATTGAAGACAAAAGTTTGATAATACATATATGACTGCAACAAATAATGTCCTAGCAAAAAATTATTAGGTACTGATAAAATTTTTAAATATTCATGAATTTTTATAACCAATTCAGAATTGTTATTTGTAAACTTGATCCTGATTTCTCTTACTTTTTATTTCTTTATTTTTTGTTTTAATCTTTGTCTTTTATTGTCACTGAATTATTTTTGTCTTTGTAGAAATTAAAGATGGACAACGAGTTCAACATTGAAAAGATTGAGAGGCTTGAAAAAGATTTAAATGATTTAACAGAATCAGGAGGGAAAGATGACAGAGAGGTGAGGAAAAAAAAAATTGTTTTCTCATTATCACACTTTTATTTTCATTACTCTGTTTTCTTTCATTTTAAACTTCATTCTTTTTTCTAATTAACCACACACTACAAGATGTTAAAACTTACCTGGCATAGAAGTTGCCAATTTTATGGACATGGGTCAATAATAATAATTGTATACACACACACACACACACACATATATATATATATATATATATATATATATATATATATATATATACACATACTGGATATCTGCCTCCCAGTCAGCAGCACCCCATTGTATTAAAGGAACAGGATCAGTACTATGCCCTGATGCCTGCAGGAATGTGCTGATAGAATTCAGCACAATTAAGTACTTATCCACACTAAAACAAGCCATATTAAATTTTGGTGCATGGATGCTTAAATATTGACTTGGACCTTAATAAATGCTTACTATAGAATAGTTTTTAACTTTTCTGAGCAGGTTTGATTCCTAGTGGGAATTTTTGTATCAGAATTGGTTTAGTAAATATCTTTATTTAAATATTACCTTATTTTTTTCTTAAGTCAGCCTCATATACTAAATTTTAAAATTTTCTTTTATGATTCTTTTCTTTAAAATAGACATTTTTATTACAAATTTTAAAGCGGAGACATTTAAAGCATTTCATGGGAGAAACCAGAAATTTGTATTCACTTGTACCAACAAACATTGTCACTTACCTTTTATACTAATCTTTATCCTGTCCGCCTCTCTCTCTCTATATATATATATATATATATATATATGCATTTCTACAAGACTTGTTCACATACCTGGAGGGCTTTGGTTAAATATAAAGGCTGCCTTTAAATTGCAAAACAGCCCAACTCTACTATCTCTGTGTTCGTTTTGCTAATCTAAAGTAATTACTTTTGTTTTTTTTTTTTTGTTTTTTAAATTTTTTTATGGCCTATCTTCAATCTCGTACTCTTTCTTATTCCCAGTTTTTCTCTCAAAACTGTTTCCACCCAAAAGGCATATTGTTACTACAGCAATCATTTTCTACACTTTTTCATGAAGAAATTTTCAAACTTTTTTTTTTTTTTTTTCCCCCATCTTCTCTCTTAAATTGTGCATGAAACTTGTGTCAAAAGTCAAACACAGAAACAAGTGAATACAATTTCTAAGTAAAAAATGAATTTCTTTTCTTCCTACCCATGTCATCATATTTATAAACTGAAGTGACTGACTTAGATTTATCCACTGTAGGTAAGTATTTGGAGCAAGTATGACTTGAATAATTTATAAAAACAGGTAATTTCACTTTTCAAAATTATGGCATTTATAGTGAATGATGTAAGGTACTTCCTAGATGTTTTAAATCTTATTTTTGCATTAGTAAATATGAAATTAACAAATAAAAATTGTTATTTCATTGTTCAATATCCTCTGTTTGTACCCTATTGCAATCTGTCAAATTAAGATCAGAAACAAATTAATGTGGCAGTTTGATATTTTAACTGCACTTTATTTACCTTTTTTCTTAGTAACAATCTTTAAACTTTTTTCTGATTTTTTTTGTTTCTATAATTTGTAAACTGATAAAACTTTACTTTTCTTCCATTTATGAAGTCTTTGTTGTTTGTCGATCTTTTTGGTTAATATTGAGCTTTTAGCATTTTTTGAAAATGCCTTTCAAAATGATTAAAAAAAAATGCTGAAAACCACGGTTGGATATTTTATGAAGATTTTGAAAATGCATAAAGAATGATAGCTTATTTCTCTCTCTGTTAATAATTTGAATAGTTGCTAAACAATGTCAAACTTCCACTGGCTTACTCTAAGAAAAATTCCATTTGGCTATTAATTGAAAATTTCATTTTTAATTCCAATATTTTTCCTGTGGTAATAAAGACTTCCTCAAAAGTTTAACGTTAATTTTGGTAATAATATACAATAAAAAATAAAAATTGGTTTTAAATTCTAGCATATTTTAACCAATCTGTCTAGCTAGTTCTTTTGCTCCTGTATTTCCTTCTGTCTTATCAGTAATTCAGAAAAGTAAAAACAAATTTTATATACATGCTTCACAACCTGCATCAGTGTCACTGTGTGAGATAAATTGTTTTTGTTATAGGATTGTGAATAAGTTTGTGAAAGATAAGTTTTGTTTACAAAAATATTATTATTGATACCCTTTTCAAAGTGTGTTCTAATAATTTTTAACACAAGTATATAACTGGTAGTAAACAGTCTGCAAAATCCCCACTTCCCCTGCAGCAAAATCATTAATTCTAAGTTATTTTAACTATTTTCAGGTGATGCATTTTCCAACCGTTTTTAGGTTTTTAAACTCCTATCTTTTATTTTTCGTTTTACAATCTGAATTTTACTAATTTAATTATTTAAATTATTCAGGTTTTATTTTGCAATTATGAAATGATGTATAGATGGGTTACAAATTTATTTGCATTCTCATCATTTGTCTGGTTTGAATAAAAAAAATTTTTTTTTATCATAAAAAATTTTACTATAAAATAAATCGACATACAATAGATGCTAAAATGTTGTTGCTGTGACTGTCTTTCCAAGATCAGTATTTCAATAACCTACTTTCAGAATACTGAATTTTGGGAAGTTTGTTGGGCTGAGAATCTCATATACAAGTTTCAAAATAGTTTAAAATAATAGTTTAAAATAATAGTTTTTAACAATGTCTTTAAAATGTTTGTAAATCTTCAGTAATAATAGTAATGTTGATAGAAATGGTTTGAGTATTGGTTGGATGAAGTAGAAACTTCTTTCACTAAATTCATTTTGTCAGTGCTTTAGATTGAAAATTTTTCAGATGAAACATTAGTGGAAAAAATTTATATAGGTCAAGTGTACTCTTTCAAGTTGGCACATTCATAGTATTTGAACTGAAAGACCTAATAACTTCCCACCATCATAAAATATACTGTATCTTTTAAACACAAATTTAAAGATAAACTTTACCTTTGAGCCATAGGATTTCTTTTTTTTTTTTTTTCGTGGTTAAAGAAAAAATAATCTGACAGTATCATAAATTAAAAAGAAAACTGAAGATGTCATCAAGTGGTGACAAGAAGACAATTTTGTCCAACTGTTGCAAATATACATTATTTACATTATTTGGACTATTGTCCTCATCTTTGTTGGCATATTTATTATAATGTTTTGGCCATTGTAGGCTCTGGCCTTCTTCAGGTCAACGGCCAAAATGTTGTAATAAATATGGCAACAAAGATGAGGACAATAATCTGAATAATGTACATAATACCTCATCTCAGAAATATAGACAGATACTGTTGCAAATATGTCAGTCAAGAAGAAAATGTTGATGCCAAAGAAGTAAAATACTATTTATTTAGAATATACACAAGTTATGTCTTTGTGAGTTTAATTTCTTGCAAATTTTTTTTCTTTTATATTCGAATTGAATGCTGTACATTCTTAACAAACCAAGTCACCAAAATACAAAAGTTTAACTGAGAAACTGGCAACTCTTGCCATGAAAACAAATACTTTCATAGCAACTGTTCTTCTTAGTGCCTTGTCTGCATGAATTTAAGCATGCTACTAGATTGGTAATTAGGTCTCACCATTTTAATGTTGAACTAGCTAGATGCAATTATCTGTCCTATTCTAATAAATTCTTTTCTTGCCTGTGGAACTCCCTTCTGATTTCTTGCTCCTTTGCCACCTACAATCTTAAAAAATTTAAATGCAACATCAATTTCCATCTTCTGTCTTCCTTAATCTGGTCCCTTTATTGTCCTTTTCCTCCCTCAAGTCTTCTTCTCATTCTCTTTCACTCCCCAATAATCACATTCATCATCGTGGCATTATCACTTTGCTTGGGGTGAAATGATTAAAAAGAAAAAAACAAAACAATATTGAACTTTGTCAATGTTCCTCAAGCCAACTGCCCCCCCAGATGGAACATGGCTAGACTCTTGCTGCTCTATCACTAATTTTTGTACATGTGTATAATTCATGTGTGTATTGCTGAAAGTCAAAACACTTATAATGTACTGAAGACCACAACAGATATTTTTCTCAAATACATCCACAACTATAAATGTTTCCTATATAGTCTAGTTCTTATTTTTAGTACTACTCTCTTATTGCTCATCAATTTGCACTAAGTACATACTGCCTAACCTAAGGATTGAACTCACAATTACTTTATTACCAAATTCATGAACCAGCACTTTGATCCATTAGTCTATTGTCCCAGGCAAGCAATACTAAAAATAAGAACTAGACATGGGCAGTGAAATGAGAACAGTCAACTCCTGTAGATTAAATAAAGAGTTCAGTTCAGAATTCCTTGTAGGTTACCTAAATCAATATATACCTAATGAAGGCCAGAGGGCACAACAGCTGAAAAATTGTGATAACAACAACAAAGATCAGGACAATAGTGTGAATAATAACTCCTCACCCCAGAAATTCAGACAGAAATTTCAGCCTTTGTTTATTTCATTTGGTATTGTCATTAAATTAATTTCTACCATGATTTCCATATTTTATCAGCTACTACTTTACATACATTTTGCTTCTCAGCAGATTTCATAATCATTCACCTAGAAAGAAAAAAAAAAAACTTTCATTTTAATTAAAATCAAATGTTCTAAAGAACTGGCTTTATTTTGAATGTAATTATTAGATGGATCCTTGTCAATAACTAATTTTTTTTTACTAGTTTCTGTAACTGTTGGCTTTTCTAGTTCAGGTGGTAGATCAGCTTTCATACAGACTGGTTTCCCCTTAGGAAAAAAAAATGTGTGTGTATATATATATATATATATATATATATATATATATATATATATATATATTGAAAACTTTCAATAACACTCATTCACATCATTCCTGTTTTAATGATATTCTTCTGTATCAAATTATTAACCTTATGTATTTCTTCAAATACCAATGAATACAAATTCATGCAATTTAGTACTTTGTTTTTTTTTATTTGTCCACCATTGACTTTTAGTAGTTGTTTCCCCTCAAGTTCACTACTTCCCCACCTCCCGGCACTGCTTTAATTTTTTTGGCCTACTTTGCATGCTCATTTTTCTCTGTCAGTCTTTTGGTTTGTTCTGACCAATAATCATTCACCTTTCCTTTTTAGTATCTGGCGTTGAAAAGAGCCAAACAGGAATTGGCAGCCAAGGTTGCTGAACAAGAAGAAGAACTTGATGACCAGGCTGGCCAGATACAGCAGCTTGAACAAGTGAGTAGTCAAGATTATAACTGATTTCACACTTACTGTTAACTAACATACATTTTTATACACACACACACACACACACACACACACATACAATTATTTTATATTTTTGTAGTGGTTAATAAAAATAAAAGTCCATTTTTAAAAAGCTAACCAACAAATTTTATCTCATTATTTTAAGTGAAACCAAGGGACATAACTCTTGAATAAATCTGTACATATGTTAGGTTCATTTACAGTACTTAAAATTAATTATTTGTTTTAAAATGATTATTTATTTCTTTTTTTATTGCATAGTCAAAATTACGTCTGGAGATGAATATTCAGAATCTCCGCCAACAAAATATGAAAGAATTAGAAGAGAAGGAAGAAGAGTTAGAGGACATGAGGTACTCAACACAGAAAAAGGTAAGTCTTCTTTTCTTGTCATATGTACCTTTTGAATTTTAAGGTATTTTTAGAAAGTGCAGACTTAGCATTGAAGTAATAAAGCATTTCATTTTAATAATCATGGTATGAATAATTTTCATGTCTTCAAGTTGGCACACATTTTATATTAACTCCTAAAATGGTACCTTTTATTAAATTTTAATTTTGTCATTTGCTCACACATATTTTTTTCTTTCTATCTGGTGGTTATGAAAAAAATTTACTTTGAAATATAATGTTGATGTTAATTTACCATTTAAAGCTTCATTAATTTTCATCTTAACCCATTATTATTATGATTTATTATTTTACTAAGCATTCACTCAGGAGCCTAGAATGTTACTAAATGAGGTTGTTGTACGAACATAAAAGGAGGAAGTATGTGTATATTAGGATATATAGGATAGATAACAGTTGACTTTAGACTTGAAGTATCCATTAATAACACTGTGTAACATGATTTTTGTCCTTGGGTAGCAACTGTTATTTGTTTATGCCTAGAAAGTGTGGAAAATATCTAATATTTCCTTTAAACTGTCAAATATGAACATTTTTGTTCATACAAAATAGGAACAAAATGACAAATGATTCAAAATTAGCATTTATTTATTCTAAAATTACACAAGAAAGACCACAACAAATTTAGAAGTGAGTAGTTTTTTATGATTTACACTCATACTGTAAAATTATTTTAAATATAGTTTCCCATCATGTTTTTGCTGTACGATCCTTGGTAGTAGCATTCAAAGTCCAATATATCCTGGTAGAAGTGCTTACTTTGCTGTTGAGTATGCGCCCCATGTTCTCCTTGAATTTATCAAGATGAGCATCAAGGATATGAACTTTGAAGGACATCCTGGAGCCCATTTTGCCATAGTTCTTTAGTAGGATCTTAACAAGCTCTACATGGTTTTGAGCCTTGTGATTCCCCCAGGATGCCCTGAACCATTGTAACAAAGCTGTTCCACACTTCTTTCTCCATCCTAGTGAGCTTCATGGAGAATTACTTGCACAATTATGATCTTCTTTATTTGTAATCTGATTAAAAAAAAAAACAGCTTTGACTTTTGCCACAAACAACTTAGATAAGAACTATTGAAGGTACTTGAAGGCTGCAGACTCTTTATCTAGAGTTGTGACAAATTGTAACATAAGGCCCAATTTCAAGTGCAGTGGAGGAAACAATATTTTCCAGGGTTCCAACAGTGGTTCCCAATTGACAGTGTGCCTCCCCACACTGAATGCAGTCTGCAGTAGCCAGTCTTCCTGTGGTAGTGTACCAAAGCCAAAGATAACATGGAAACTTGGATCAGGAAAGCCACCATTTTGGAGTTTCTGAACCATACTCTTTATATTTCAATGCATCTAGCAAGATCTTGACATTGCTGTATTCCTCTTTGAGCTTCACCTAGTGAGCCAAGTAAGAGATGGATACATGTTCTTATTATGAAGGAACAAAGCTTTGAGGCTCCTGAATGAGCTGTCAGTGAAGAAACACCACTCGCTAGGGTGACAGGTAATTGCCTTGAACAGACTGGTCATATTGTGGTAGAAGCAAAGCCTATCTTGACAGGTGAAAAAGCTTGACAAACAATGGTGACGCTTTCTCTGATATTCAACTTGTATACATTCATTTAACAAATTCCACTGCTTTAGTCTCGATGTCAAAAGCTCAGCATTAGACCAAGATCTCTGATCAGGTTGTTGAGGTCTTTTTTTGGTCTTTGGAGGAGTGGGTACAGGGAGCTCAGGGCACTGTGGCACTTCGGTGGGTGGGGACGATGGATGACAATGTTTGGATACATGATAGGCACATTCTTGCCAGCTCAAAGTTTGGAAGGGTCCACTATGCAGAAGCAATTGTTGGAGTGGTCAGTTGATGCCCTCTAAATTCATGGGATTGCGAATTTCATGACTATTTTTTCCACTCTGTACTATCTTGCAAAAGAGCAAAAAAAAAAAAAAAATGTCCCGTAAAGGGATATATTTGATAGAAGTAGCTAAGTGGGTTTGGCTACTATAACCAAGTAGTACACGGTAACAGTAATCGACTGGTACTTGTCGTAGTCGCAGGTAATAAGTGTAGACCAATAGAATAGCCAATGGGCGTCGTCATAGACTTAAACTCTGTTGTACGTACACATCCGTCTGTATTTATGACTGACACCAGCCAATCATATTCCAGTGAGGGGGAACACAGGTGTATGCATATTCCATTATATCAAGTATAAAAATGTAAATATATTTCACCCAGTGTTATTGAAAAATCTTAAAAAAAAAAAAAACCCAAAAAACTTACATTTTTGTTTTTGAAACTTTTAAAACTTGTGGATATGTAAAATTCTGACTTTGTGCCCCATTTATGTAGCAAATGCCACACAAATACAGAATTTTGAATACTGAACATCCCTTATATTTATATGGATCTTGCCAGTGATCCAGTATAGAAAACATCCATGATACTATGGATACTAATCTGCAACTGTTGAAACATATTTAATACATATTTTTCAATAACACTGGTTTAAAAAAGTAAAAGTAAAAAAATATTTAAATTAAAAAAATTCCAAAACTTTTACACTTAAAAATTCCATTATCCAAATAAGCACAACTTTCCATCTTACCTTTTAGAGTTCTTTACCAGAATTTGCAGGTGAAATGAGGTTCCCAGGATGTTTTGATCTCTGATAGGCATGCCAAAATATGCCTTGTAGGCCATGGACATTTTAACAGATGTTGTCACAGAGTACTTTTTTGCTCTTGTCTTGATAAATTTGCCACAGACATAATAAAATGTGTCTGCCTGATGCTTACAAACTCTTGGTGCCATCTGTGATGAATGCATCTATCAACAATGACTTGTTTGCATTTTGACAGCTAGAAGTAAACTGAACTGTTGAGCTTACATTCCCTGTATTTATATTGCCAACTAAAATGTTTTAGAAATTTTTGACACCTTCAAAAACTTCTCTTTCAGCAACTCAGTGATGAATCTGTCTGGAATGTAATGGAAAATAGGTTAGTTTCAAAACATCGATGTCCAGGTCACAAAAGCAGTTTGAAAGAAAATAAGAGTTATTTCCTTTGCTTTCTAGACAGAAGCAATTACGAAATAACTTTCTGACCAAAGAACAAAATTTTGTTACAGTGTAATCTGAGTTTGCTTATAAATTAGAAGTTAAGCCCCCTTTTTGGGAAAAGGTAGACAGGAGTGACTTCCCCTGAGTAGGCTTCTGATTCCTAGATAAAACAAAATTTTCTGTTCGGCGAAAGGATTAACAAATTTCTGTGTTGTAATCTTATTTTTCCATATAGTGGTTATATAATTGTTAAAATACTTGCTTCTTCATATTGGAAACTTGAGATTTTCTAACGTTTTGTATGATATTTTTGAATTGTAGTTGAAGCAATTAGAGAGCCAATTAGAAGAAGAGTATGATGACAAACGGTTGCTTATGCAAGACAAAAGGGAATTGGAACGACAAATCCAGGAATTCACTCTTCGTGACACAGAACGAAACAGTGGTAAGTATTTTGAACTTTTACCAATTGTATTTAACCACTATCACTCTGTATGACTTCATTTGTGGTACAAAAAGTTTATCCTGCCACTGAAGGTGACTGATCCCTGAACAATGGTGTTTTTGAATTTCATAGTTGTGTTGTCATATCCTTCTATAGCAACAGAAAACAACTTTGAGTGAAATTAACAATAAGGATACTTGCAATTGATAGGCCTTGAAAAAGAATGTAATGGAAGGGGAAGTAATATTAATAATGCAGTGCTAAACGTATGTTAGGTTCAGTGTCTACAGGTTGGAATGAAAGACAAAACTGTGTATAAGGAAAATGCTTTGCAATTTTGAGGGTAAGAGGGGCAATAAATTAATTACCTCATCAGAGGTAATTTTTTTGTTTCTTTTTTTGTTCTCTGATCATTAAAACTGATGAGATGATTTTATTGCCACTCTTAATCCTCAAAAATTCTAACATATTTTCCTTACAGTTTTGTCTTTTCATTCCAACTTGAAAATGCTGAACCTAACAGATGTTGTTGGCGAAGCGCATTGTTAAAAAGCTTTTCTACTTTGTCCTATTATCTCCACTTTTTTTTTTTTTCAGATGCTATTATACATCCTACTAGCAAATATTTAATATATGTATTTATCACCAAAGAAACTTAAAATAGTAAAATGTAACCTATGAAAACCCATTAAGAATGGCAGTAAAAGAAAAATGATTAATTTATTCATAAGGAATTGGATTTGTGGCTATTCAGAAAATTACAATCCTTTGCATTTAAATATTGCACAAACAGTACTGATTTATAGAAATTACTGTCAATTATTGCTAATTTCAATCAGAAGTAAGCTATTTTTTTAAATTGCAGAGAAAAATAATATCCAAGTTATTAAAAAAGCTTAGTTAGTGTAACACAAGATCCCAATTTTAGAACACTAACATTATAATAATGGCTAAAGAGATTAGTTTGCTGACCAAGGTGCCATGATTTATTAAATAACAAATTTTATTAAAATATCTTAGATGAATCTTTCTGCATTATTAGACAATGTTTTTTGTTTCTAAGAGTCTATAAAATCGTGTTACAAGACAGTGTTATTATTGTATTATATAGCACTTTATCCTCTCACCTTATCCCATGTCTTTATTGTGTTAGATAATGAAAAACGATTGAAGAAGGACCTGCGCCGAACAAAAGCCCTGCTGAGAGATGCTGAGACAGTGATACAAAAGCAACAGAGCTCAGAAAATTCTAAGGTTACCATTCGACAACTACGTAACCAGGTCAGTAGACAGTTGATTCGGATTAATTCATAGTGATTTAGGAATTTTTAATTCACAAATATGTGAAATCTATGTCAACAAAATAACTATGTGACTATGCAAAATGTCTAAACTTAGTATATTACTTGCATAATGCTAAACACTAATTGTACTTATGAACGTTTCACAACTTTCCTATTTGGATTTTTGGTTGTATCATTATATTTAATTAATAATAATCTTATAAATTCCATCAATACAAAATACATGTAGAAGTTCCCCTATTGCATCGTTAATTATTTGAGCTTAACAACTTCAGCCAAATATTGCAATAATAATCATAAATATGGCTGCAGGTCATTATTTAAAGAAGTAAGAGGGTACAAATGGAAAGATTTAATTTTTTTTTTTTTTTTTTTTTTTAAGTTTTCATATTTCACTGAAGCAGATGATAAATACAGAAAATCATTATTGCCTCTTCTATCTTCTATCCTGCATCTAGATATATCTTTTCCATCTTTCCTCACAATCAAAACAGAATAGTCCTTTAATTCTGAGAGTAATATACATACTGACTAACTAAAGAAAAAACAGAATTATATGATGGGGGGGGGGTTGAACAAAACAAAAAAAATTTTAATAAAGTATCTCTAATGTTCTCACTTAGTTTTGCCAAAAGGTGGAGAGTTCACTTTCTCATTTTATTTCAATCTGAAATAAATAAAAAAAATTAAAAAAAAAAAAAATATAACAGCAAATTAATTGATTTAAGCATGTAAAATAAATTTTGTTCATATACCCAAGAATGTATTATTGTAAATAAAAAAAATATATATATATCAAGCCATATTTTTTTTATTGAATTTAAACTCTTATTTTCCTCTTCTAGCTTGAAGATGCACAATTCACTGCTGCTTCTGCAGTGAAGGCAAAAAAGAACCTTGAAATTGAACTAGAGGAACTCCAACAACAAATAGAAGAAATGTCTAAAGGCAAACAAGATGTGAGTTGGTCCTCTTTAGTTTTTGTTCTCTTCTACAAAAATTAATGATGTCGTTTTTACTATTTTCTATCTGAAGAGCAGCTCTTCTTTACCCGTAGCTTCTCTATTGGCAGGATTTAAATAGAAGGGTAGTTATTATACAAAAGCAAATAATGATTTAAAAAAAAAAAAATATACATACAAAGTATTTATTTTCACTGTTTATTCTCAAGAATATTTCATTAGTATTTACTAATACTAACAAAGTTATTTTTTCTATGGCTGATTCTGTTTGTTCCATAGCTAGAAACTTAATTTTTTTTTAGTGTCTAACATAGGCAGCAAGACATTCAAATAAGTTTTATTAAAATTGGCCAACAGTCTGTTTAATTTTTGTATTATATTTTTCCAGTTTGTATACAAGTTGTTACACATTTGGATCAAATTTATGGAAAACTGTCTAAAGTTAATAATGGTTTTGTTGAAGTACTTTCAAATATCTCCAATCTTTATCAGTAATGTTAGTCATTAAAGACATAGATTTTTAGCTTCATCTTGGCAGTTTTTGAAATGCTGTATTTCTAATACACACACAGGTATTTTCTGTATATTTTGACAGCGTATTTTCATTTAAGTATGTCTGATTAAACAATTTAGACATGTTGTGTTTGTTTATTATAGAACAATTGTGTTGTAAATCTGTAGAATGAAAGAATATATTTTCGTGATAGTTCATACATTTTCAAAATATCCAGCACAAACTTGGACTTATCAACAAAGGTCATTGTAATTGATTATCAGTAATGAATTATTTTAGTGTGTTGGTATTGAAATGTTTTGTTCTTTTATAAACCTCACAAAGAAATCACAAGAATGATTTTATGCCACTCAGTGGGACTTCAATAGCTGATTCAGTTGGAGTTTAGAATTCCTTGAATGAAGGAACGTAGAACCCAACTAATATCTTATTAAAGCACAATATGTAAACCTATTTTTGAGTCAATCTGCACCACTTCCTAGAGATTAAATGAGAGAAAAAATTGGCCAAATAGTAATTTGACATATGAAAATATTTAAACTTTGTATTTAATGCAAGGAATAAAATCTTGACCAGAGAAGTTAAGCATATTTGTTTGGAAATAATTTGCATCTATTCACAAAGAAAATATAATGTAGCCCTTGTTCAGATGTTGCTGATTCTTTTGTACATTTTAAAACCTTATGAAGAACTGGTCTATTTCAAAGAGTTCCATTTAACTTGTGGCCAGAAGTTTTGCATTTCTTATCTTTTGATTTGTTTTTAACGTTTGTTTTTGGTTGCAGGCTGAAACTCGTTATATGACTGTGTTGAGAGAACTCACTGATATCCAAACAAGGCTAGAAGAGACAGAAGAAGATATGAATGAAGTGATGGCTAAATACACTGCAGCAGTCAAACAGGTGACTTATTTGATAGAGAATTGCAAGGAAATAGTATTGTTCATAATCAAATTCTTTTAATAACATTACTAGCTATAGATCTCTCTAAAAGTTAAACTCTTCCTCAGAATCGATATTGTTCATCTAAGGGAAACAACTCTGATTTCGGCAGTATGTTCCTTTTGACTTGGGAGATATTAATTGACGTTCATCATTTACATTATTAAACTTTTATTTGGGTGGGGAGGTCAAGTAATAAAAAAAAAAAAACACAAACATTGTATTTTGTATTATAACAACAGATCTCTATGTGGTTTGAAATATAACTTTGCAAAATTCTTCTAAGATTCACACACACACACACACTTATATAAGTAAGAAAATTTATTTGTTAATAACTGTATACAAAATAAGTTATATGTCCTTTCCCATCCCTGCTAAAAGGATTGTGGCCTTAAAAGAATGTCTAATATTTTTGTTAAAGATGGGCAGTTTAACTGAAAAACCAACTTTTATCAGTTTCATGTTCACACCATGAAAGCACATGAAAATTTTTTACAAAACCAAAATTGTTCGGTTTAGTGCTATCACTACTGAGTGACCATATCCAAGAAAACACTATTGAAAACGACTTTTTCAGATGTTAATAAAAATTAGATTTTATCAACATTTATACCATTGTAAGAGAATAAGATTGAACAAAAAAAACAAAAAACATTTAATTGACTAGTTTTAGTTTTGTGGTAAAATTAAGTTAACAAAATAGCAAGTAAAAATAAAAAAATAATTGCCAGTTTCGTTTTAATGTTAAATTTTATGAAGTCAGATTTTTTGTAAGGGTAATAATTATTTTCTCGTAAGCCAGTAGCCAATCACAAAATAAAGTTGTTGTAAACAAGAAAAATGAATGAAGATTTATTTTTAGAAATAAATTTGTTTTTTATCTAAAGAATGCACCTAAATTAGATATTAAGAATAATTAAAATAGTTCTTAATTTCACTTTTAAAATGTGTATATTTCCAGATAAGCAAGTCTCTCTAGTCTAAAATTGTTTGTGTTCTTTAAATTGTTTCTATCTAGCAAATACACCTAAAATTAGATATTAAAAAATAAAGTCTCAGTCACATTTTTAAAATGTGTATATTTTCAAAACTGCAAGACATTTTTTTTTTTTAAACCCAAAAAAAAAATTATTCAGTGTGTTCGAGTACTTTTTTTTTATAAGATTCTTCTAAACCAGGAAAACAAATTCATTTAATTATTTTACAAATAAATCTATATGGTTTTATCTAGTGAAAATACATTTAGATTATATATTAAAATGATTAAAATAGTTTTTAATTTCAGTTTTAAAATGTGTATCTAAAAAGACTGGTGATACTCGCAGATTTGGAAATTTACACACTCTAAAAATTAAATTAGAAGCTTTTAATCATTTTTAATTTTAACTGTATTGGCTAGATAAAAACAAATTTATTTAGGGGAAAAATAACTCCTTGATTTTCCTTGTTTAGAAAAAATTTATTTGTAAAACCCCAATAACAGTACATTGTTGTACCAGAAAAGAATTGGAATTGACATATTTTTAATTATTTTAAAGATGAGGGCTTTCATTTTTTGGCTTTTTAAAAGCCACATCGTAAACTAATTCTTCTCTCTGAAAAATGTGTTGTCCAAAGACACAAATAAAAAATATTTTATGCAACAGTTTCTTTCATATTTTACTAATTTGTTAATTAATATGGTAGTTATTTATTGTTGACAGTTTATTCAAAAGTTTAATAAACCTTAATCCAAGCCATGAATCCTATGACTAAATTACCTTTAAAGCCTAAACTGACTATATATTTTATTATCCACCCCAATTCATGGTTTTTGGGTTTTTAATTCCAGTGGTCTTTAATGTATGTCTGTAAATTTTTATAACCTTGCTTAAAATCAAATATTGACTCGTTACGCACCAGTTACACAATTACAGATGTTTCAAAAAACAACACACAAATGTTGAAAAGTATATGGGGTGTTTATTTTACATGATAGTAGTTTCAATAATTCAAAAGTTCTTTTACCACACATACTATCAGTTAATCATTTTTGTTTTTTCTCTTCCTGCTTGCTTTATAATTTTTGAAGGAATTCGCTTCCTCCTGGTTGTAGTTTAAGGTGTCTTCTAATTGAATATACAATTTCAAGAATATTGATAAAGATTGCTTTGTTTTGCGTCTTCTAATTGAATATACAATTTCAAGAATATTGATAAAGATTGCTTTGTTTTGCGAAATCAAAGTGATCAATGTGTAAAATTTAATGCTGGAAAAAATTTAAAAAAAATATATTTTGCATTTTCAGCTGTTCAAAGCAAAATACCGTTTTAACTTGCTGTAAAAAAAAAAAAAATAATTCGATGAATAAAATTCATACAAATTACATATTTAGAAATATTATCTTCTTTCCAGCCAAATGTATATTTTTAAGATTGAACCAAAAAATTAAAAACCGAAAAACTGAATCAAAAATGGCAGTATCAAGAAAAAAAATGGAAACCGATACCAATACATAAGTTACCAAACTAACCAACTTTAATTTTTGTTTTGTGTGGACAGTTTCCTGGTTGCCCCAAAACTCTCAAACTGTTTAATGTACAAAAAACTGCTTTGACAGTCATCAGAGAGCTAAAAGCCTTTTTCCTTTTTTTTTTCTCTATCTCATCCTCTTGCATATGCCATGAATCTGTGCTAAATGAATGTGTTCTGATTCTTACATTTCTATTTATCCAGCGATCAGTTGATCAGCTAACAATGTCAGAACAACTTCGACAGATTGAGGAACTTGAAAATGAGAGAGACAAACTGAAATATGAGGTAACGAAATCCGATTTGTCCTGGCCATTTCTGACTTTTTTTTTTTTTTTTTTTATTATTATTTATTTCTGCTGTGTTTAATGTTTAAACCACTTTGTAGTCAAAATCTGTTTGGTAATTATGATAGCTGTTTATTAACCAGAACTAAAAGAATATTTCACTTAAACTTTTCAAATTTGATACCAGATTGTTATTTTGATTCAAACTAGCAATGTTTCTTCAATAAATAATATTAATCAAGGTTTAAATTGATGTTACTACATATAATTGTCCAAAAAACTGAAAATTACTATTGGGAAATAGTTACTTTGTCATTATATCCATGGTGCTGTGAAGGAGGCATTGGCCTCTCCATTTAATTTGATGTCTTATCTGCAATGTATGATGAAGCTCTTGAGCTGAGATCTATTCATTTGTCTAAAATCATTAATGTCATTAATTATCAAAATAAATCAGAAAATTTCATTTTATTTATTTTTAAGTTTTAGAAGCTAATGTTTTTTTAAAAAAAACAAAATGTAAATTTTGTTTTGTAGAATGAAAATTTTAGATTTTTTTTCTGCAGAAAAGTCAAAGTGACAAGCAAAAAAAAAAAAATTATTTAAAATTAAAAGAAAAATGTTTACTGTAGGATATCTTTAAAAAAAAAAAAATGAATTTTATGAGAGGATCATATAAAAAAAAATATAGAATCCTAGATCTTTCAAAATTAATAACTTGTTCAAAACCCCCTGAAAATATTTTATTTGTGTTACAATCAAAGATGAACATTTGCTAATGGAGTTTTTGTGTTTCCAGGTCACTGATTTGGCCAGCAAGGTCCAAACTGTTGAAGATCAATCAGTCAATAAACTATTGGCATTAAGATTAGAGACCAAAGTCAGAGACTTAGAATCTAAGTTGGAATTGGAAACCTCAACACGGCATCGCTTAGAGGTCAGTTTTTATATCGATTTTAAACATATGTTTCTGTTAAATCTAATATTAAACTGACAATATTAAGAATGTTCATTTATTTTTATTTTTTTCTGTTTCTTTAAGTAAAAGTGTATCCGATATTGTTAACCTTTGGATGATCAGATAAGCTATCTGACTAACTCCTGCAAATAGGGATAAAAATGTCAACTGGAATCATCTTATATTTTCAGTCTACTGTTAATCGCAACAAAGAGCAGATTGAGAAGGTGATGGAAGAACGGGATAATATTAGTAGTGGCAAGCACCAAGCAGAAGAGGCTATTAAAAAATTGCAAAAGGCAGATCTCCTATTTAGTGAAGACTGTGATTGACCAAAATGATAAATTTGAGACCAATCACAAGAAACAAGAATTGGTGAGTATTTTTGTTTTCTCTAATTTACAGAGCACAGTTCTATGTAAGCTCCTCAACTTTTATTTATTTTCATATAGTTTTATAGAATGTTATAGTAAAGGGTAAATGTATTCAATATGAGAGTTAGAGTGTATGAAAATCTAAAAGAGTACACTTGAGATCAACACCAAGCGCCAACAGTCTGTCACATGCTTGAACTCTGTAGGCCATTAAGATTGTGTTCAAGTTTGAAACACTGTTGCTGCATAGTGTTCACTTTCATAGTATAGATAATTAAAATGACAGTCAAATATGAAACCTAAAAACTGGACTGAAAATTATCTCAGAAAATTTGTTGTTGATTTTCTTGAATTTTAACATCAATTTAGCTGTCAAATTTTATTTGTATTAATCCTATGTATGTATAAAACCAATGGTAGTTGATTGGATAGAACTACAATATGTGTGTATATATATATATATATATATATATCTCTCATAATGTGTGACGTCATTTGTTTACATTTGGATACACATCAAGCAGATATGAATGTACAGGAGAAAATCATGGAGAATAGTAGCTTAAAAACTGTAAAATCTACCTTGCTAACTGAAACACACCTTTGTGGCTCAATCGGTAAGACACGTCAGGCTATAAGATGGTTCCGTGAGAGGATGCATATTTTCTATGAAAATTTCTTGGACATTCAGGCCAGTAAATGTCATTAATACAGTTTATTATAAGCAGAGCATTTACTTGAAATATTTGTATCTATAAAAAGAATGTATAAACATAAAAAATGTCTTAAAATATATATCACTTTAAACGTTATTTTTAATGGATACTTATATTTGAGTAAATGCTCCATTTATTTATTAAACAGTATATTTTTCATTTATCGGCCTGAATATTTGAGAAATATTATTAAAGAAAAAATTCAATGTGCTTTTAACTGACTTATCCATGAAGGACCTTTGCTGATCAAGCCTTTTAAATGAAATCCTTCTCGTTAAAGATTCTTGAAATTTCCTATCAACTCGGTTTTGTATCTAAACATAAAAAAAGCAATTTCTAAAGAAGTAATGGATTTTTTATTTATTAACCTGACAGATTTTATCACTTTAAAATTATTTTTAGTGGATACTCATATTTGAGTTATTAAACAGTATAATTATTATTTATTTTCATCTGCTGACCTGAATATTTAAGAAATCGTATTAAAGAAAAATATGCGCCCTCTGGCAGGATATTTTTCTTTTAAAGCTTTCATATTTACAAAAAAAAAAAAAAATTTTCTTTTGCCTAGTCTGGGGTCCAAAAGTTTCCCCATAAATAGGATTGAGACATTGATGCTATTAAGTGTTCTCATTAAGGAAGATAATTATAAAAAAACATTTATATTTAACTAATGCAGCCTTTATCAGAGAAAGGCCAAAGCACAGAAAATGAAACATTAAAATAAATAGATTCAAACAAGTTGACAAATGCTTAAAGAATTTCAGTTTTTCATTTTCTCTCTAGTTTCTTTGATTTTTAACTTGAAGCTTCAACATAAAATTATCTTTGGACACCAATAGTTTTGTGAGTTTATCTGGTTGTTCATTACGAGTTCAATCCTCACTGGACTCTTAAGTGATTAGTCTACTATATAACTACTACATTGAATTTTGGTTTTCCCTGCCATGAAGTAATGGTTACTTGTTGATAATTACTATTTAAAAGTGAGTTTTATTCTCACTGAGTTTCTGTGAAAATTACCTGAAGCTAAGTGAGCTCAATGTTTTGTGCACTTTGCATGTCGTTAGCCATTTGCAATGCAGGAAGTGCACAAGTGCGGTTCTTATAAATAATATCATCAGCTGATAAATATTTATCAGTTCAACATGTATGTTTCACTTGAATAAGCAGATAGTTTGCTGCCAACAGCTATTGAAAGAAACTTACAAGTAGCTATGATCTACAGTAGACTGTTTTAAAATTTATAGTGTTGGTATGTGTTACTTTTCTTTCCTTGGCAGTGAATACATTTTGAAATCTCTGTGTGTCACAGAATTGATCAGCTTGCAGGAACTGTTCAATATTATTGCGGCTTTGGGTTAAGTTTAATAAATAACATTGTCTTGTTTTGAACAGGTGATATTAACTTGTCGCCATAATTTTATAAAACATTTAAGCAATAAAATATTTAGATATTTATACTAAATACTTGCAGATTTATATGAATTTTTCCTTTTTAATCATTTCACCCCAAGCAAGGCAATAAAGCCACTAGGATGCAAGGGGTTACTGAGAGAATAAGAAGACTTTAGTGAGGAGAAGTGAAGAAAGGACAAAGGATTCGGGAAGACAGAAGATGGTGATTGATGTTGCATTTAAATTTTTGAAGATTAAAGGTAGCAGGGAAGCAAGAAATTGAAAGGGAGTTCCACAGGTGAGAAGTGCAAAAAAAAAAAAAAAGAAACTATTAGAGTAGAAGAGACAGTTGCATTTTTGTTAAATCCTCTTTCACAACTCACGGCACTATAGGAAACAAAATATATATATATATATATATATATATATATGTCCCTTCAGGATGTAAATAATTATAGCTCTCCACAATTTCTACAACTCTGTAAACTGTGCATTGCCATAATTAGCAGCTATTCCACTTTTTTTTTTATAAGTGCTGTTTAAGAATCTGTTATAAAGTAAAACTATTTATGATTTGACTAAAATCCATGTTTTTGTCTGATTGATTTATTCATAATATGTAATATATTTTGTTACCTTTTGTGTCTTTTATAGGAAAGTCGATTAACTGACTTGGAGATTGACTATGACCAAAGTCAATCAGATCTTAAGTTGGCCTTCAAACGGATTTCTGGCCTTCAAGCAGCTCTTGAAGAAAGCATAGAGAGTGAAGATGATGATAGTTACTTATCATATAGGTAATTTAAATTTTTTTTTTTTATTCATTGAATAGATATTTTTTCCCTGGCAATGATGACATTATGACCAGTACCAGAAAAAATGTTTCTCTGCACTTGCATGTTTGTCCATATTTCTTTGAATATTCAATTGGAACAAAATTATATTCTTCATTAAATAAATGAATTGTACTAAAATAACATAAAATTCTATTTGTACTGTGTCAACAGAAATGTTCACTATATAGAGATGAGGAAATAGGTAGAAATGATGCTTATCTTGAGCTAGTGAACTCTCAATGATGTAAAAATGTGTTTTGGAAAAAAAATACTTCAAAACATTTAGTAAATTAAAAAGAACATTGATGTTGCTTTGTTGTCTGGTTTATGAATGAAGAAATAAAACTCCAATTATATGGAGGACGTATTAGCCTCCCTAATGTTTGGAAATAAAGATCACAACCACCATATTGATATCAGTAAATTAAAAATGTATGCAATAAATTTTAATTATGTCAGTTTGTTTATTTTATTCCAACTTACATGAACTTTTTTCGCTCTACAACTTGAAATGTTGATTCAAAAATTAATCTAAAATTATACAGTAAACTTTTAGTAATTCAATTGTTGCAACAACACCATGTAGTTATCAAACATAGTTTCAAGCATTATTGTAGTCTGTTAAAATTTTGTGCACAAAAGACTTAGTTGAATTAAAATATTTTAAAAGGAATACTATAGAGTCTTTAATGATGTTTAAATTTAAATATGAAGTTTTTTTGTTTTAGTATCTGTCTATATTTCTGAGATGAGGTATTATGTACACTATTTACATTATTCAGACTATTGTCCTCATGTTTGTCGCCATATTTATTACAATGTTTCAGCCGTTGTACACTCTGGCCTTCTTCATGTGGTTGGAATGTCGAACTGAACCCTTTATTTCGCTCACTGGGTTAGACTGTTCTAGTTTCATGTGCCATATTTAATGGATGTCAGTTATCTCCTATTAATTCCCCCTCTCCAAGTTCTTCACTGCACAACTGGGCATTGAATCACTTTTTTTTTTGATCCTGTCACTGGATCTAACCAACACCTTTATTTTATATTTTTTTTTTTTTTTTTTTTAGGTGAGAGGAGAGTACATGATAAATAATTAATTTTTCTCCTTTGCAATTTCAGTGATGTAGGTGACTCTGAGGATGATTTTGATGTAGATCCTGAGGACACATTCCTGGCAGATCATAAGCAAAAATCCAGTCTTTATGGTAGTACTGGAACCCGGTCACGGTCAATATCTGCGGCCAGCCTGGAACAAGACACAGATGGCTTAGATGAAGGTAGCAGTAGCCATGCTTACCAGTGTAAGTAATTTTTGCTCATATTTGTTTATTCATTATTTTAAATATATTTATTACTATAAACATTATATTTAGTAGAAGCTATTTAGTAGAAGCACATGTTTGAGTTGACTATTTTTTGGTTGATGTAAATCTTTTTGCTGGCCTCTGTATTCAGAAGACTTAAAAAAATGCCTTTCAACAGAGTTTGGACATGTGTCTTCTTTGTAAGAATAGCTATTGTATAGCCTGGTGTCCTTTAAAAGGCAGGTAATCTTTAGGAGCCTATTCTGCTTATTTTCTTTTCAATCTGACAATGGAAACAAATCACTTAAGAATTAAACCATTTTGATAATTTAATATGACACATTTATTAAGTTATTCCCAGATTGAAATTCTGTTCTCAACATATTTCTCTTCAAAAGTCTGATGCTTTTTCACTAGAGTGTCATCAGCTGTGTTATAGTTTCTTAGCCACATTCAAACTGAATTACAGCAGCCCCAAAGATCCAATGGAAGGCCTATGAAATTTATGACCTTAAAATTTGCCACATTTTTTACTTGAAGAAGATTTTTGTCAAAATAAATTATGTTCAAAGGAAACCCTCTTTCAGCCTTCACAGAACTTATAACAATGGTATTAGCTATTATATAGAAGATTATTTTTGGATAATCCAACAACTTGTTTGCTAACCTTTTATAATTTTAAGAATCAGTTTGTGTGAACTGGTAGGATGCCACCACCACCCGAAGATTGTGTAACAGTCACATAACTATTTAGGCTTCACAGAAAAGTTAATATCTGAGTATTGTTTTTCTTATGCTTATTATATTGGCTTTGTATATCACTTTATATTTTACATTGAGTGCTCTTCTTGTAATGTGCATGTCTATTATAAAAATATATAATTCTATCAATAAGAACATTACTTTAGTTGGAAGTGCTTTTAAAGGACAAAATGAGGTATATAGAATTGTTTGCATTTTATCATAAAACACAGTAAATATTTTAAATAAGTTTTACATCTTTTATTTTACAGCAGCCAGCAGTGATGCCTGATGCCTGAATATTGACATTTCATCATGAAGATACCAGCCTGTTTTACTTGGGTCATTGTTAATTTTTTTCTTCTCAATATGAGTCACTGTCACTGCTGTTTCTATGGCCAGCACATTCTTAAAATGAATATCCAAAGTCCAGACAGACCTTGGCAAGTGGCATCAACTTACAACCTACTTATTACAAATACGATGACCCATCAAAAAGGACTAATGTGAATAAACCTAACTAAGTGCATTTGAAGAAACCAGCCATTCATATTTGAGAGCACACACACACACACACACACCCGGCACCATTGTATATATCTACATATACACAAATATGCAAATAGGTGTGTGTTTATGCATTTTGGCAGATGTTTACTAATCAACAAGAGGTGGACATATCATATGATGAATGGGGGGCTGGGAATGGGTGACTGACTAATGGAACAAATTGGAAATGGGACTGATCGGTCTGTTATACCAGATTCTAACACTCGTCTTGGGAGGGAGTTTTTTTCGGAATGAAAAATAAAATGTCAGTGTGTGAATATAATGTAATAAAATCGTTGGGTGGGAAATGACAGTGTATTCCAAGAAAAAAAAAAAAAAAAAAAATTTCTCTGGACCACAGAAAGGAAGAAGCTAATTTTCTTTTTTTTTTTTAATGCTTTCTGTGCATTTTTTTAAATAATCGAATTAAAGTTTTTTGTTTTTTTTTTTTTAATATTAAATTTAAATGACCAGTGCCAAATTTTTCAAGTCACCTTTTCGTTTCCTAATTTCATACTTTATATAATTACTTGGAAGAGAAAGGTAATGATGCTTAGTCAGGAAAATGTTTTTCCTTAGGGACATTACCTGTTGGAAACCAAGGTGTATCTTGGGATTGTGAATTTGAATTAGTCACAATTTTTGAACTGGTATGTAGTACTTATTTAAATAATTTTCATTTCCTAAAAATTAGTACTTATCAAACTATTCCCCCCCCCCCCATCTTAAACATTATTTAACCTAATTTTGCAATAATAATTTTTTTATATATAAACTGATGCATTGGACCTAAGTAAATGACATCTTTTATCAGAACCCCTTACCAGTCAAACCTCTTAACCTTTTCTGCTGCCGTTATAATGCCACGTATAAATTTCGATTAACAGCCTTGATGGACAAACCCATGTCTTATTTTGTTAAAATATTCTTTATATTATTCTCTTTGAAAATAACATTTCAATATTGTTACTGTTTTTTCTTAAATTATTTGGCCTTGCTACCCTTGCCATCTTCCCAAATCTTTTCTCAAAACTTGTCTGTTTTGATTTTTCTTTCCTAACATCTCCAAGAACCCACCTGATTAAACGTTGTCAGGGCCTTGAAAAACTTTAACAACTCTAATTTACTTTCTCTTCCATTTATTATATTACCATTGGCCAATAGAATCTTGGCTAGTACAACAATACACAGCATCACATGACAGATTTGTAACACAGACTAACTACTGAACATACATATATGAAAGATATATATAAATCCAATGAATGTGTGTACCTACACATACGCGTCTGTTTCTCTTTCTATTGAGAGAACATATGTATCCAACATCAGTATACAAACATGACTGGAATTTTGCTAAAAGAAATTTACTAAACATTACTTAGCTGGTCTGTGATATATAATTTTTTTTTCTTTTGATTTTTCTTTATTTTAGCCCTGCTGAGTACATCTGTCTGTTCAAATTTTAAACATCAAGACTAAACAAAAATGTTGATTGGGATGGTGGGGTGGGGAATCTGAAAAATAAAAAGAAAATAAACAAAGGATTTATTCAGGTTTGTGTTTAGTTTTGTAATTTTATTTATTTTTTCTGAAACAAAAAACAAATAAAAACAAATAAATCTGACAATGGAAACAAATCACTTAAGAATTAAACCATTTTGATAACTTAATATTACACATTTATAAAGTTATTCCCAGATTGAAATTCTGTTGTCAATATTGGAAAAATTCCGTTTTTAGTTCTTTCTGCATGATTAATGCCTTTTGCGTAGATTGTTGGGAGGTAGTGTGGAAAATCATTCTCTTGATTATGTCAACATTTTCTGTTCACGTTACATGTGCTTCCAACTGGATTGATTAAAAGCAGCAAATGATGAAAAATATCTGGATTATGCCGAACCTCAGAACCAGAGGTATTTTGTACAGCATGGCTGAAATATATTACATATACTATAGTTGTCTGGCTTTTCAAATTGTGATCACTACTTATTTTGATCCCTGCAATCTTGTCTTAACAGGAAGAACTTAGATTTTCTAAGAGCCTAGGCCAGTCATCACCCAAAAAGATGCCAAGTTCTGGAAGGATGGAAACATGGAGTTGGTGCAAAGATGGTGAAAGTTAGTAAAACAAAATGGTATATTTGTGGTTGAATAAATATTTAAATATTGTCTTTGCAATTTACTTAAAAAAAAAATACTACAAACTTTTGTTCCAGCCCAATAATGTTTTTTTTTTTTTTTTTTGTGTGTGTGTGTGTGTGTGTGTGTGTGTGTCTTGCTATGTAGCAGTTGTTATCAAGTTACCCTTACAACCCATTTTAACTTTGGTTACCTTCTATGGTGTATGATGTGAGAATTAGAAATGAAAACAGTAAATATTAATTTCCATATTAATATGTTTAGTGGATAAGATAGTTGAGTGTTTTAGTGCCAAATGTTAATGTTCAAACCCACCTGAAGAATATTTTGTCAGAAAAAAAAATCTCCCCCATTTGACTCTAAATAACCCATATTTGGTTTGGTGCTCCTGCTATATATGATGAGATTCTCAAAATTCAAAGAAATGTCTAATGTTATTGGACCTGTGGCAGGGCTACCCTCTTTTCTATAAATATTTTCATGGCAGTTATTCTAATGAGCTCTCCTCCTTGGTGCCTTGAACACATGAATTTAAGCATACAACTAGATCTCAAACTGTTACTGTTGAAAATAGTTTCTTTCCGTGCCTGTGGATCTCTTCTGGTTTCTTGATTCCCTTCCACCTACAATCTTCAGAAATATAAATGCAGCATCAGTCACCATCTTCTGTCTTCCTGAATTCTGTTTTTTTATTGTCCTTTCTCTTCACTAAAGTTTTCTCATTCTCATAGACTCCCAGTAATCCCTTGTCTTGCTTGGGATGATTAAGAAAAATGACCTCTTAGACCTGTACTCTCCTTGAAGAAAACTAGGAACTACTTATGTTCAAATCTCACTCTCTCCCAGCTTTTAGAGAGAAATTTACATTTTTGAAAGGAGTAGAAAAGTCTAAATTGGTTAGTTTTGAATTCTCATTCGAAGTGGCTGCCATGTATAGATTGAGTTATTGTAAAATCCAATCTAGTTAGTTACACAAAGTCATTTATTTCATGATCATCCATATTTCAATGTTGACAACTGATCTTGAAAATTACTGACAATCTGTTGTTAACTAGGGCAAGAAGTGGCTTGTTAATTTTTACTATCAGCATGACTGATTCTAACTTCCAGGAGAACAACTTGCTATGCCTTCTTGTTTTTAGGTTTTCTACTGCTATGTAGTTGAATATTAAATCAATTGAATTAAGCAAAGTTGACTCACAAGATCATAATAGATTTACATGGTTTATTTCAACAGGAAGGTGTGGGTTTGGGACAGCTTCCACCTTGTGGTAAAGTTCATAAGCCGGCTTCGGATCTGGGGTCAATCTCTCAG